AAAAAAAAAAAAATGGGACACCAAAACTAAAACCTTTCACACTTCAAAATACACCATAAGTAAATGAAAAGACAAGCCACAGACTAGAAAAACATTATTTGGAAAACATATCTGATAAAGAATTTATATCTAGAATACATAAAGAACTCCTACAAGGCAATAAGCCAAATAACCCAATTAAACAATAGGCAAAAGATTTGAATAGAAATTTCACAAAAGAAGATACATAAATAGCTAATAAGCACATGAAAGATGTTCAAAATCATTAGTCACTAGGGAAATACAAATCGAAACTACAATGAGATACCATTTCACACCCACTAGAATTAAAAGACAGGGCCGGCCCTGTGGCTTGGTGGTTAAGTGCGGTGCTGCGATGCTGGTGGCCCGGGTTCGGATCCCGGGTGCGCATCGAGGCACCACTTCTCCGTTCATCCTGAGGCCGAGTCCCGCATACAGCAACTAGAAGGATGTGCAGCTACGACATACAACTATCCACTGGGGCTTTGGGGGGAAAAAATAAAATAAATAAAATCTTTAAAAAAAAAAGACAGACAACAACACGGGGCCGGCCCTGTGGTGCAAGCAGTTAAGTGCGAGTGCTCCACTGCCGCAGCCTGGGGTTTGCCGGGTCGGATCCCGGGCACACACCAACACACCACTTGTCAAGCCATGCTTCGGTGGCGTCCCATATAAAGTGGAGGCAGATGGGCATGGATGTTAGGCCAGGGCCGCCAGTCTTCCTCAGCAAAAAGAGGAGGATTGGCAGATGTTAGCTGAGGGCCAATCTTTCTCACCAAAAAAAAAAAAACAAGTCTTGATGAGAATGTTGAGAAAGAGAACCATAACACATTGCTGACGGAAATGTAAAATGGTGCAGTCACTTCAGAAAATAGTTTGGCAGTTCCTCAGAAAATTAAACATGGAGTTACCACATGGCCCAGCAATTTCCCTCCTAGGTATATTCTCAAGAGAAATGAAAACAGATGTCCACATAAAGACAGCACATGAGTGTTCACAACATCATTATTCATAATAGCCAAAAAGTACAAATCACTCAAATGCCCATCAAGTGATGAATGGATAAATAAGATGTGTGATACCTATAATGGAATATTATTCAGCCATGAAAAGGAGTGGAGTACTGATATATGCTACAACATTCATGTACCATGATGACGAACCTTGAAAACATTATGCTAAGTGAAATAAGCCAGTCACAAAAGGCCACATTTTGTGTGATTCCATTTACAGGAAATGTCCAGAAAGGGGAAAATGATAGCTACAGAGAGCTGACTAGCAGTAGGGCTGGAGGTGGGAATGATGATAAATGCAAAAGAGCACAAGGGTATCTTTTTGGGGTGATAGAAACATTCTAAAACTGAATTGTGGTGATGGTTTTACAACTCCATAAATTTTCTGAATAATTCACTGAACTGATAAATTCAAAAAAATTTTTTTAAATGCTTGCATTTATTCCAATTTAACTGAAGTCTGAAAACAAAAGCTTTTACGATAAAAAAATAAAAAACAGAGTTTCAAAAATGAACCTACAAAAGCAATGCATGAAAACTTTGGGGTTGGTTTTCCATTACGCATAGTATACCTAATTCAGAAATGACTCTGTGATAGATATTAGCTCACAAATATGCAAATTTGACACAGCTAGTTCTATTAGAGAAAATCACATAAGCAAAATAAAGGAGAATCTCAACTGGTAGAATCAAAAATACATATCTGTGTAGCGCAGCAATAAACATCTAATAAAAAGCCTACTCCACCACAAACAAACAAAAAACAAAACCAAAAGACTTACTTGAAAGATAGGCTCTGATAATCCTAGAAGCACCCTCTGAGCATTTGTAGGACCCAAGAAACGATGGACGAGGGAAGCCCAGCCCAGGGAAAAACGAAATACAATATCCTCTTGAAAATCTGAACATAACTTGTGGCAATTTAGGTCATAGCTGAGATCAAATTTCTTGCAAGGAATGAGTGTGTGTAGTTTATTCTGTATACCAGCTGGAAGTAATGGCTTCAAGTTTTCTAGAAAGAAAAAATTATGACATTTATATTAAGAAATAGTAAATATAAAAAAATTTTATAAAATACTTAAAGGAAAATAAATCCTTTACCAATGAAATAAAGAAAAAGTTACACATGAACTTGTAAACATAAATATTACCAATAATTTCTTGCTGGGATTGAAACATTGAAGCATTGACTTCATTGGTGCACCGATCAGCCAAATTTCTTCCCATACCATCTTCTATGTGCTTATTTAACTCCTGTTAACAATGGTAAATGTCCACATTATTTCTTCACTAGAGCATATGCAGATTTTATAAAAACTTTAAACGCTAAAATGATCTTATTCTGAGAGGATAACTTTTCTGTGTATTCTATATACAAGATAGTTTACATTTATTACAAGAGTACACAGGAGATATAACAGTTTAATTGTGTACTGACTGCCATGAAGACACTAAAATGTCCAAAGCACTAAATAAGAGTATAGAATAAGGTGAGGAAAGTGTATCTGAATAACCTTTTTTTGTTTTTTGCTGGGGAAGATTCACCCTCAGCTAACATCTGTTGCCAATCTTCCTCTATTTTGTATGTGAGCTGCCATCACAGCATGGCCACTGATAAGATGAGTGGTGTAGGTCCAAGCCCAGGAACTGAACCCTGGGTCACTGAAGCAGAGCACGCTGAACTTAACCACTAGGCCACTGGGGCTGGCACCTGAATAACTTTTAACTACAATTTAACTTACATTTTTATATACTTTCAATACACTTGGAGTAGGATGAAACTCAGAACAAAATTCATCAACCAAAACAGAGAGTCGACAAATTTCATCTGTCATTGCACATGACACCTGAAAAAAATCAGTTAAATAAATTAAACAAGATTATCAACTACTCAAGAAATCAAATTGAGAAAAATTTAACAAAATATTCCTTTAAGGTAACAGGGATAACATTTTAGCATTATCAACAACATTTCCATTTCCAGATATTTTAATCATAAAGTTACTGTCACCCACCTTGTTTGCCACCTCCTCCGTAACCTCCCTGATTTTTTTCTTAACATCCAATGTTAAAAGATTCATCTGGTTTCGGATAAAGTCCAGTCTATCAATTTGGTCTTCCCTCTCTTCCATTGAATAAACCCTATTACAGTATGAAGAGTAATTAATATTCAGGGCATACTAAAGTCCCAAAACAATTAAGCAAGGGCACTCACTTATGAATTGAACCATCTGTTAGCATGATACAAGAAAAAAGAATCTATTTCAACATCTAAAAGGATTCAAATAATATTTCACTTACAAAATATTTTATAGATGACTGGATATAAACTACTGTGTCTCTCTGTCCATGTGGCACCTGAATCCCACAAAGGATTAACGAGGATTCTAAGTCTCCAAATACTTCATGGATATGAACAGTCAAAATAGAACTCAATATTGACTTTATATAATAAACGGGTCAGCAAACGACCTCCTGCAAGTCAAATCCAGCCAGCTGCTAGTTTTTGTTCAAGTTTTCTTGGAATATAGCCGTGCCCATTCATGTACCTATCGCCTACAGGGCTGCTTTTGCTCTACAACTGCATAATTGAGTAGTTGCAAGAGACAGTACAGCTCACAAAGACTAGAACATTCACTATCTGGCCTTTATAGAAAATTTGTCAACCCCTGGATGATAGAGAAAAAGAAAGACCTGAGATCCTTTTAAGGTCATCTTTAGCTAAAAGAGTTCCCAAGACACGATGATTATACAAACCATCCTCAAATCACATCATCTTTGTGCCATGTTTAGTTCAATGTCCTATATTTTTTTTAATTAATAATAAGGTCAACCCAGTGGGACAAATACTCACTTTGGCTACTACAACAAAGCAATTCAGCTGGAAGGGATGTAAATGGCAACACAATCTCATTACATATAAACAGTACACAGGGCCTGAGACCAGACTTTGGGTTCTCACCCTTATATTTTATATGCTGGAAATTCTCTAAATTGTGTACATAATGCATTCCTGCAAGAGTGTCAAAATCAGGCAATAGACTTCGATGAGATATGAGTGGAGTTCTGTCCCCAGCAACATCACATACATTTAAAATTCCCAGTTTTATGTCACCTTAGACTTACTTTTTGATGCTTTATATCTTTCCTTTGTTTGGCTTAAGCCCACTAAAGGTTCAATTGAGCTTAACATTATTACGTTCGTCACATCTAACATCTTGATCTTTGTTTCAAGTGTACCAAATTTGTGAGAACTATCCTTTCAGTGTTGGCACTTCCATGTATTCAACTTCATTTTTATAAGGTAATAAATGGAATAAAATAGTGGAGTACAGTATGACATACAGTGTAGTGCTTACCAGACTGACTCTCTGGCTGGCAGGTAATATCACCTTGCTGGTTTACCAGCCGATAAAAAACCACAACTGACATAAAAGAGTGATTTCAAGGAATCAATGTATGAATATATGAAAGATGGGTCATGGGTTTAATGTAAAAAAGAGGGTCACCTGTTTTGGACCTCTTCAAAAAATTCTGCTTGAAGAAATGGTTCTTCCACCACTTTAAACATATTATAAAGCCACTAACCATTTAAAAATCACAACTCATACACGAGAATACTAAGATCCAAGGAATGTAAATGATGTGTTCATGGTTGTAGAATAAATATTTAGTTTCAAATATTCATTTAAATGCAAGTAGGCATCAACCAAACCCACAAGGTTGATTTTAGTGAGAAAGTATTTACAACAATTTGAAACCTTTGTCTAAGGAATTCATATTGACACAAAGAAAATTAAAATTTTTATTTTGCAGTAAAATGAATCCATACCTTTTCTCTGCTGCTGCCACGTTTATTGAATCCATTATGTTTTTCACAGTATCTAGTATCTGTTTAGCTCTGATAGTGTGCTGCTCAAACTTTGTTTTCACTGCTGACTGCGAGATACACTCCTGCGAGGGGCCCAAGCCATAACACATTACTGTAATTCCATCCCAACATTTTCAGGAATTTAAACACAAAAACTTGCTGTTTGTAACTTTAACCAAAACAGAAATTAGGGTAGAAAATAAATGCATGATAAACACAACTTAAAATTACAAAGGTTAAAAAAATTACAAGGATTCAAAAGTAAAAAGGGCTTTAACAGCAAGTTAATATCTTTGTGTAATTTTACACAGTAATGTGCAATGGTCTTTTGACTATGCTACTTTTACAAATAAATAAACAGGGTACTAGTTTCAATGTTAAAAAAGATTTCCTCATTAGAATTACAAATTTTATTTGGATTGCCTTTAATCTATTTCTAGTCCACCTTTCTTGATTTTTCTCATACTTACAACAGATAACCTAATGAAGTTCTTGAGTTATAAATTTGAATTCTACCTTATTTAAAAAAATTAGTTGAATGATATGATTCACATAAGGTTATTAAAAAGGACTTCTACAGATTAAAACTTGAACAATTTGAAAAATACTCTTTAACAATAAACAATCTAAGCAATATTTTAAATTGTTTATAGAAAAATATTTACAGTTGGGCCAGCCCCGTGGCTTAGCGGTTAAGTGCGCCTGGTCCGCTACCGGCAGCCAGGGTTCGGATCCCGGCGCGCACTGACACACTGCTTCTCCGGCCATGCTGAGGCTGAGTCCCACATACAGCAACTAGAAGGATGTGCAACTATGACATGCAACTATGACATACAACTATCTACTGGGCTTTGGGGAAAAAAAGGAGGAGGATTGGCAATAAATGTTAGCTCAGAGCCAGTCTTCCTCAGCAAAAAGAGGAGGATTAGCATGGATGTTAGCTCAGGGCTGATCTTCCTCACAAAAAAAAAGAAAAATATTTACAGCTATTTCAAAGATAATCCTGTTATTGTCACTGGTCTACAGCAGGCGCATACAGGTCCAAATGATGCCCTATCTCATGCTTCACCTTCCAGCTAACTGCAGCTCATAACCCACTAATAGTTTTACAAATCCATGAGTGTTTCATAACCAGTGTTTTTTTAAATAGAATACATCAGAATTATGTTTATTTTGTGAAATTTTTGTTTCAATTTCAATATATGTACATACTACTTGTTATTTAAAATATTTACTGTGATTCATCATTGAATGTTTGTAAAATTAAGTTAAAATTGGCCTTTCATTTTTATTTCATAGAAAGTCAAATTCTATACTGACATAACATTTGAAAACAACTACAAGTATTTACAGAGAAATGCTATCTGGTCTTTGAATAATCAAGAAATGCTCACTGGATACACAACATCAATAACTACAATAGAAGTTTTGGAGGAGGTCCTGTTTATTTTCTACGATAAATTCTTAAAAATTAGGAATATACCCCAATTATCTAATATTTCCACCAACTGATCGTATTGAACTTCTATAACTAGTACTAATTGTGGTATTTACTTTCTAAATGAATCAAAATAAATAGCTTTCAAGCTTTAAAAAGTATTCACTTAATACTCTAGTACTATATTTATCTTGAAATCATTAGTATGTTACACATTCATTCAGTGTACTATTTACAACCTATGCTTAGCCTTCACGTCTCTAAAATGATTATTTATCACTTCATTAAGACAGAAAAGACTTTTAAAATTTCTTTTGCCATTTTAGCTGCCCTCTTCTGTATTTTGTTTGAGATACAGAAAACAGAATGGATTCATTTCTTTAGCTATAGGGCACATGAGGTAACTCATTTACTTAACTGTTTATAAAGCCTTAACTCAGAGCCCATTTCTTTCACTCCATAGCCTCTCCTTTGCTCATGGCTAAGCTCATTTATATATCACTCAATATCACCAACCCTGAAGAGAGTAGTGGTAGGAAGTTAGAGTATTCCTGTTCTGTACATGCCAAAGCAAAAGCCACCACCAATAACTACACAATATTAAGTTAAACATTTAAGTATAAACTGCTTTTTTTTAACTACCAAAACAAAGTTTTGATTTTACTTTAAATAACTGTCTCATAAACTGCCAAATTAACCTCCACAAAAAACTATAATAAAACAAAAAAAAATTTCTAAAAATAAAAAAAAGGTTCAAAGAAATTCTATGTTCCTCGATGAAGCAGATCTAGATATCAGCAATGAAGACCCCAAATTCATAGGTGACAGCACAGTATTAGAGCTAGACTAGACAGAAAAGAAAAGATCTCCAAAAGTTATTAGGCAATATAAAAGTCACTCCTTGACTCAAAAATACACAATGAATAGTATAAAGGAAAAAGGCAATCTTCTAATTAAAAAGTATCCCACACTGATGCTCCCACTGATCAGAAAAATATCCAGAGTCAACCTGCAAAAGAAATACTCTATTCTGAAATAAGTATGGGAAATGCTAACTTAAAGTTTCTTTACTGAATTATTCCTCAGAGCCCTTAATACACTAATATGCTTACAAATCTCCATGGGGAACATATATAGCACGCAGCAGTTCCCAGACTTACTTTATCAGGAACTCTAATTTTCCAAGGAGAAGTTTAAAATACTGCATCAAACCAATGTAAATTCTATCTTGTCAGAGTATCCTGTAGGCTGTTTTAAAACGTGTTAAAGATTTAGAACCAAAGCAATAATCACATCTAAGAGAGATTTCTGGTTCTCTAATAATATCTAAAGAAGCTAGCATGTAATTAATCATAGTCACATATTTGTAAATACTGTATTAATATTTATGTGTAATTAAAACATAAAATGAACTTGTCAAGTCTCCTTGATATAAGAGACCCCAAATACCCAATAACATGCTATTCACCACTCCCAACCTATTTTGAAATATTTTAAACTGACAGGGAAGTGCAACAACACCGATACACAATATACCTTTCAAGTAAATACACCAAATGTTAACATTCAGCCTCACTTGTTTACCTTTTCTTCTCTCTCCATACAGATATATATAGAGAGAAATACACAGATACGTCTATATAGAGATATACATATATTTATATATATATATATTTTTTTTTTTCCTGTTGAACAATTTGACAATTCACTGCAACCACCATGACCTTATTACTAAACATATTAATATATGTCTCTTAAGAACGGGGACATTTTCCTACACAACCACAAAACAATTATTCTCTTTGGAACATTTATCACTAGGACAATACTCTTAACCTAACAGACGTCCATTTTCAAATTTCACCAGTTGTCCCAGGAATGTCCTTTACAACAAATCCACTGACATTTTAGCAAAGAGTTATCTTATAACTCTTTTCCATCATACAACCAAAACTATTAAGAATAGTTAGTGGCCAAATATTTAGGCAAAGAAATTTAGATTTCTAAATTGCCTTCAGAATACATACCTGTCCAAATATGCGTTGAAAACAGTAAGAAACCATATTAATAGAATCAACATTGATTTTCTTGATTTTACTTGATTTAATTTCTAAGCCTTGTTTAACTTGGTACTCTAAATGTTCATAATACTTAGCTCCTTCTGAACCAAATGAATCTCAAGAAGTCCATGGCAAATACGAGACTGTTTGATAAAAATGCTGAGCTTGGTACAGTTTTTCTTTTCACAAAAATCATCTTACAAGACTACCAAAAAAACCTAATAAGTGAATTCTAAAAAGAAAAAGAAAATGTGTATAAAGGCCACATTCTTGTGATCACACTGCAAAGAAATCAGGAAATTAATAACCAAAATTTGGATGAAAGGAATCAAAACATCAGAATTTTAACAACTCCTGTATTGAATAGGAAATGCCAAGAACTATAATTAAAAACTAATAAATAGGGGCTGGCCCAGTGGCGCAAGCGGTTGGGTGTGCGCGTTCCCTTCCGCGGCCCGGGGTTTGCCGCTTCGGATCCCAGCGTGCACCAACGCACCGCTTGGCAAGCCATGCTGTGGCAGCATGCCATATAAAGTGGAGGAAGATGGGCATGGATGTTAGCCCAGGGCCAGTCTTTCTCAGCAAAAAAAGAGGAGGATTGGCAGATGTTAGCACAGGGCTGATCTTCCTCACACAAAAAAGAAACAAACTAATAAATAATGTAAACTAAACTGGATACTGAACCCCATGGAACATGTCCAAAACTACATTCAAAAATTCATAGTCCTGGGCCGGCCCCGTGGCTTGGTGGTTAAGTGCGCGCGCTCCGCTGCTGGCGGCCTGGGTTCGGATCCCGAGCAAGCACCGGCGCACCGCTTGTCCGGTCAGGCTGAGGCTGCGTCCCACATACAGCAACTAGAAGGATGTG